GTATCAGGTAGAGGTTCTTCAGGATTTGACAAAAAAAAAACTAAGAAAAAAATCAGATTTCAGCTCTTCATGGGCTGATATCAGTGAGGCATTTCTTTTCTCTAAAAAGGAATATTTAGTTCTTTTATTCTGATCCCTTGGTAAATACCTTTAACTTTCATAATCATTTCAAATGCCCTTTGCAGCATGCCTGTCTGCCAGCACGAAAAGTTATTGAAGCCAGCAAAGTTTGTCGAACCAACATGGACTGCCAGAAGCACTTTGTTCCGAGCTTTTGTGTGACTCCTTCTTTGGAGAACCAAACAAGGCTAATCAGGGTAAAGCATCCACCCCATATTGACATGCTATATGTAGGACACCCCATGCATCTTCAGTACACAGGTTGGTATTATTTATTGAAGCAGTTTAGCAAAAACAATCTCCAATATGGTTTCCTTTGCCTGGCTGCTTGAACAAGGTCTTGGAATGTTTGTCAGTTAAATTGTTTAATGCAGAATCCATTTCTTGTTACAGCCAGTGGAGAGACATGGACTACTCAGGCCTAAAATGAAATGTGCACAGTGCAATGAGTTATGAAGGTAATAGAAACCATATGTGATATGAGATGGTTGTTTTTTTAGAAAAGTGTGAAAGGGCTATTTCTAGAACAGATCTTACTCAGGTTAGTCATAGGAATCAGATACCTGCATTTTCCTAGCACACAAACCTCTCAAGAGGCTACTGTAAAATCTGTAGGCATCTTGCTCTAGCACCTTGCTTGAAATATTAGCATGACTGCTTGAAATATTAGCATGACTGCTTGAATCACACCTAATATGCAAGTATCAGTGGCAGATTCCCATGACTACAGAGCCACAAGTATTATCACAACATAGTCTTTTCCTGATTTATTCTTTTTTCATTTGATTACCCTAAATTAAATAACATATAACAGTTTAGTTCCTTACTTTGAAATTCACTGTGGCTCTTCTTTAGGCAAGCTTATGTACTTGAGCCAGGTATATAAGTAAACAGTAATTCTGCTGCTGGAGAGAGTATGGAAAGAATGAACAAACTTATGAACGTCGTACTTAGTAGCGTGAGTGACACGGTGAAATTTAGCTTCAGACGGGTTTTAAAAGGTTTTAAGTGTTAAACTACTGTCCCTTCCTGTGAGGAACCTACCTGTTCCTCCTAGTCAGCTGTACCTCTCAGGGTGATTTTACTTCAGACATTTGGAAGTATCTCCTTAGCAAGGCATTGTACTTTTCTGAATAAACACTGGAATTAGGTACAAAAGAGCTTTATAAACAGTGATGAAATCTGGTAGTGTAAAGCCATTAACATTCTTGCATAACATATTTTTAATTAATCTATCAGTCTTTATCTTTCTGTGCTGGTAATTTGATAATGTGTGAGGAGGTATTTATTTCAACTTTTTTTACAATATGCCATCATTTAAGCCCCGAAGATGGTCTTTTTGTTTATTTCTGGCCTCTTGCCATTTAAGAGGAAAACATTGTTCACATGTGTGATATCAGCACACAGTTCTATATTTGTTGACATCTATTCCAAGTGGAGCAACGTATTTTAAGAAGAGAGTTTTATAACTATATAGAATTAATTTTCTTGGTCTCTAACAATACAAATTATCAGTATTGTAGAATAATTGATGTTATTCTCTTTTCCAATATGTTGGAGCACTGGAGTTTTGGTCAGTGTTTCCTGCTGAACAACAATTCTGCAAAAGAATTGAACCTATCAGTTGGCCAGAAGTCAGAAAAGAATGTTATTGCATCTAAAGAGGTAGTTCTACTTTAAGAAGTTACTGTGTGAAAATACCGTTTGCATACACATGTAGGAATATAATTCTAAAGTGATTTATTGTCCCTGGGAATTGTGCATTGAATGTATTAATTTGAAAGCTAAAAGCTTGACTTTATTACAAACTTTGCTGAAAATGCAACCTATGCTTTGTGTTCCCCTTGGAAAAACATCTGAGCTAAAATTCTAAAATCCTGGCTTGGGCAGCAGATAATCTACTGTACCATCACAGAGTTTCATGCATCCCAATGAAACAGCTTCTAAATATTTCAAACTTAGTTTTGCACTGTACAATACTGTCTGGGGCCAACAGGTCTGGTGCGTTTTTGTTTGTTTGTTTTTTTTTTTTTGTCAAATGTGACTAACCATTGGTATGGTTAGTGGTAACCATTTCTTTATGGCTAAGAAAGGAAAATAACTTCCTCCTCTACTGCATGACTTTTGAAATTGGAATGTGTTTTAGAGAAATGCCTTATTCTTTAGTGTGATCTTTCTGCCTGCAGGGAACATTACTTTTTAGAGTGGTGCTACATTTAACATGTAACATGACATGAGAGTTACACTAGGGTGTATTATGTCTTTACTTTCTCTAGAAATGCCAGTAATGTTTGAATAACCTTCTAAGGTTATGCATTTATTATTTTTTACTTAGGCTTGTAATGTTGTCATGATAGTCCTGATTTATGGTGAAGCAGTAGTTATTTCATATTTCCATTTGAAGGTAACTTCCAGATAATGTATTTTTAAAAATGTGTATCCATAATAGCTACTTAGAAGAAATAGACTCTACAGCTTATTTCTATTAAATATTTGTTTCCTCAAATTAAAATATCCTAGCAAAAATATTTTTTGTTGGTTTGGATGCTATATATAGCACTTATTTCCAGTATTTAAAAAAAATCTCTGGAAGGAATCATAATCCTAAATGAACCTAAAGCACTGGAGATTTGGCCAAAACTAAAACGGAAGGAATGATTAGGAATACATGTTGTTTGGGACAGACACATTGATTAATCCTTTTAATTAGCATTCCTTCTGTAAAAAGTATTGAATGTAGTCCAATATAATTCATACTGTCAGTTTAATACACATGGTATTACTCAAGACTTTTAAACTTTTCTTATCGCAGGCGGTTATACTCTAGAGGCTCTCCCTGTGTTGGACAGATGATATGTAAGACTGAAATGGAGGGCCCTGTCAGTACTACCATGTAACTTTGCACTGTTTCTTCTTTATTATGTGTGAAGGTTTTTATTCCCTCGTGATTTCTGATACTGCAAAATTTTTGTTTCTTTCTCTGGCCCTTGTTGGTTGGAAAGAATCTGGTGACTAAGGTTCATATCTGGAATTCACACTACTTGAGGAAACATCATGTCCCTGAATGTTACTGTTGCCCATCAGGGATCAAAAACTGTGAGATTTCCTTCAAGAAAAGAAGATGGAACTTACTTAGGAGATAACTTCCTGATAATTTCCCTGAACTGGACTCCTACTTCTGTTGTATTTGAGTCTTCTTAAAAAAAGAGAAAAAAAAGCCACTTCCTGGCTTTGGGCATGTTTATCAGTAACAACAGCCATAATCCATGATGAAGGTCTTTGTGGTCCAGCCTGTTTTCTCAGTATTTCCATGCTTGTTCACCCTTACCACTGAGGATGGTCCTTCTTTGCTTTTAACCCATACTTAAAGAATTACATGTGTAGTTCTTTTGGAGACCACACAGAAATATCTCATGCCATGCTGTCCGTCTCCTCTATAGCATACATGCCCTTTCCCCCATGAAGAAGTTTTGAAAAGCTCTTTGGTCAACCTAGTCTCCCAGTCACTTCTAATTAAAATTGTATCTGTTGTGCATTCTTCTTGATATTTGCCAACACCATCTAGCATTAGCCAACAAAAGAAATGTTATTTCCAGGTCAAAGAATTGTTTAATTAGAGTGGGAAAACAATGAGTGTTTTCTCTCACCCAGGATCATTGCTGTTCACCTCTTCCCAGCAGTGTCTTTTTCAAGACAAGCCTTTTGTTATTCCTAGGAGGACAAATTTGCCTACTGCCATTAGGTTTAATCCGTTACAACCACTAAATTCATTGCCTCATATTACAGTGACTAGAGCTCAGTCCACCAACTTCCTGAAGAGTTTCTTTGTGTTTGGAGTTTGCTTCGGTAGCAAGGTTTGGAGTTTAGATCCATGTCTAGTGGCTGTTGGTGACAACAATTTGTTGTAACAACAAGAGAAGAAGATTAGTGATCCATTCTCAGTGTAGGCACAGCTTCAGATTCAGGGTGGTGACTTAGTGGCCATTAGTCAAGCAGCAGTTAGGGTTTTGAAATTACAGTATATTGGAGTGTGTGTCTTTTGAAGCCTTTGAATATACTGGATGCCTCAGCCATTTTGCTATTTTGGCTCATGAACAAGAGGTCAGATCCGATGTTCTGATACCAGCCTTCAGCATGACGAGTTTGGATATCACTTGACCGGGATGTACACACAGACTGGGTAATGGGAGGCTGGAGAGCAGCCCCGCAGAAAGAGATCTGAGTGTCTTGGCCGACGGCAAGTTGAATATGAGTCAGCAGTGCCCTGGCAGCCAGGAGGGCCAACCGTGTCCTGGGGGACATCAGGCAAAGCATCACCAGCTGGTCAAGGGAGAGGATTGTCCTGCTCTGCTCTGCTCTGGGGCGGCCTCACCTTGAACATTGTGTGCAGGTTTGGGCACTACAATATAGAAAAGATATGAAGCTATTAGAGGGTGTCCAGAGGAGGGCAACAAAGATGGTGAAGGGCCCGGAGGGGAAACCATTTGAGGAGTGGCTGAGGTCACTTGTCTTGTTCAGCCTGGAGGAGACCTCATCATGGTCTACAACTTCCTCATGAGTGGAACAGGAGGGCCAGGCACTGATCTATTCTCTGTGGTGACCAGTGACAGAACTTGAGGGAATGGACTGAAGTTGTGTCAGGGGAGGTTTAGGTTGGATATCAGGTAAAGGTTCTTTGCCCAGAGGGTGCTTGGTCACTGGAACAGGCTCCTCAGGGCACAGTACCAAGCCTGACAGAGTTCAAGAAGCATTTGGATGATACTGTCAGGCACATGGTGTGATTCTTGGGTGGTCGTGTGCAGGACCAGGAGTTGGACTTGATCCTTGTGAGTCCCTTCCAACTCAGGATATTCTGATGCTACCGAGACACTTGTGTGATGATTCTGTTCCTTTTATTCAGACAAAAAGAGCTGATCCCTGAAGCTGTGGGTCATGTTTCTGTCAGCCCAACCCCTTCCCTGATGAGCCCACCCTCAGCTCTGTCCGGAGGGCTGGGCCAGCAGGCTTGGGGGTGGACGAGGCTGTTCCTGTTGTGGCTGGGGCTGGGTAGTTTCTGCTGCTGCTGCAGTGCAGCTGAGGAAGGGCTGGGGAACAAGGACAGCTCAGGGATCAGATGTGCCAGTTTCTTAGGGCTGCTACAGTGGTGGGTCAGGTTCAGATAAACTGTTCAGGCTTTCTGGGCGGGAGATCAGACCAACACGTTCCTGCCGGTCTCCAGAGAGACGCCTGTGGAGAGAGGAGGTGGCTAAGTTGCAGGTGGGACACGGGGACTCTCCTCCACAGCAGGGCCCAGAGCTGACAAAGCTCACCACCATGGGTGGAGCTGTCAAGGTGAATACCTGCACCTCAAGGCACCACTAAGTAGGGGGATTCCTCCAGACAGGTTCACTGGTCAGCAGCAAGTGCCAGTGCATGTCTTGCTTTTTAGAGCAGTATTATCTCTCACTCTTTCTCATCCTGACCTTGCTTTGCCTCTGCCTGTTGGTCATGGAGGCTACTCTTGTCCAGGCAGGCTCAGTTTGAACAAACACTGGCTCCAGTGCAAGCAGGCTCCCCAGGAGAAGACCCAGGAATTAAAAGGCAAGTTAAAGCCTCTGACAACAGCAGAAAACTCAACAGAGTTTTATGGCTAGCCACTAACTCACTGCTGCACAGCAGCCTGACTAAAAATGCTTTGTGGCTGTGAGCAGCCTTTGAAGGAGGCAGCGGATGTGGGGGGATTGATGACTCACCGTTTTCTATCACACCACCAGCAGATTGCAGCAGTACACAACAGTATCCCAACTGGCACAGCAACCAGGACTATCACTATGCCTATCATACAGCCTACTCCACGACAGAAAATACTTTCAATGTGCTGCTCAGCTTTGGGAACACGTGTGGTCGTTGCTACAGTCACTTCTGCAGGAGAAATTCAAATGTTAGCACATCCTCTGCACCACTTGTAAGCTTGCAGTATGTTTGATACCACCAGGACATTCTCTGTTTCCCCCCAGTGCTGGTGCCTGGAGGCACACTCCCATCCTTTGGGACAGGTTGTCCCTCTGAATGAAACTCAGATGGTCAGGAGGAGAGCACAGAGGGGAGCATCACTGCTTGACCAGTCACTCTTTCGAGGGACATGGACAAAAACCATCCCTGCAGCAGGCAGTGCCACCCGCAACTCTCCCTCCCTGATCTGACTCCCATACCACAAGGGGATGGAGTCAGGCCCTCTCAGGAGACACTTGAGCTGTGCTCCCCCCCATCTGCCTTTTCTCCAGCTTGGGCACCCCTTGCAGCCGCTCCCAGGTTTCAGGCTGTGCCTCTCACTTAGGGACCTCAGCAGGACTGCTCAGTACCTGAGTGCTCTGAGCCTGTTTTAGGAGATTTTTTGGCATTTCCATTGCGTTCTTCTCCAGATTTGGACAGCACTGCCAAAAAGCAGAGACAGTTAAAGCCTCAGCATGGCTCAGGATACAGGAGGATGGGAAGGTTCCCTCTAGGTTCCCTGCCCAGTGTGGGAGCCAGAATATTGCTCTGGACCTCAGCTCACGAGAGGGATCCTTCTCTGAACTGCTGTTTTGCCTTGGGCCTCTCGTTACTCAGGGCAAGCTCTGGGATGAAGCTACAGTGGGAGCCACATTTGTGCAAGAGTCCCGTTTTTCATCTTTTGTGGAATTTGATCCAGATGTCTTGAAACCAACACACTTTTTAGCTTGGCTGCTGATGTGATGTGCAAGAGCAGGCACTGGGGGAAGAGCCTGCTGCACAGCCATCCTGATGGCTGACACCAGCTGACCACAGGACAGCAAGTACCTGGCCATGCCAGTGGCTGGCATTGGCTATGGAAGGAGCAACTTGCATTTCACATGGAAGGAAGATTAAAAGGTAAATGCTACTTCCTCCAACTAACTTACCTGTGGGCTCACGCTTTTGCTTAAGGACTCGAACTGGCAAAGATTTCAGCAAACCACCAACCTCGGCATCTTAAGGAAAATTGCTCATTAATAAACTCTTGACACATTGCTGATCATTATTCTTTCAAAGAAAGGGACATTGAGAATCTACCTGCAGGCTCTAAGGGCTCCAAACCATCTTTCTGCCAAGCTTCCAGAGACTCTTTTAGAGAATCAGCTAGAAGCAAGCACAAAGAAATGTTTCCATTGCATATTAGGGTCTTCTGCCTTTGTGAACAGAAGCACTGGAAGGGGGTCAGGTAAAAATGTGAGAGCCTGATGTCAGTGGATTGCCAAAGCTGCAGAGGAGGACCTGGGGACCTCTGAGCTGGCAGTGCAATACACCTTTAAGGCGATGTGCAACAACCTGGAGGAGCAGATGGACCCTTGAGACTCTCTTACCAGGAGAGTGCTCACACAGAGAAAACCCTCAGTAAAGCACTGGAAGAAAAACCCAACATCCACATTTCTTGGTAAGAAGACCTCACTGGCCCATGAAAGGCTGCACTGGTGCCACCAGCTGACCTGCTTCCTGCAGTTGCCCTGTAGCAGCCTGAGCAGCCCTGGCATGCAGAGTAGTCAGGAGGATGAGGAGGAGGAGGTGGTGGACAAGGACCATGGTCCCCCTCACACCCACTGCTACTGCTGTTGCTGTCGCTGCTGCTGCTGTCAAGAAAGGGGCTGAGCAGTCGTTTCTTTGTCCCAGTGCAGCACCGTGGGGCTCTGTGACCTCATGGCCCTAGAATGACCGCAGAGCTGGGGCAGGGCTGTGTGGGGAGCTGCCCTCCCGGCTAGGGGAACACATCCCATAGGGCAGCTCTGTCCAAGGGCTGGGATGCAGGCCCCCCACAGCAGGATTAATTACACCTTCAACAGGTTTGCAGACAATGTCAAGCTGAGTGGTGCAGTTGACACACCCAAAGGACGGGAAGCCATCCAGAGGGACCTGGACAAGTTCAAGAAGGAGAACCCATGGGAACCTCATGAGGTTCAATAAGACCCACTACAAGGTCCTGCACCTGCTTCAGGGCAACCTCCAGTATCAAGCTGCAGAAGGTTATAGTGTCTTCCTGGTTAACAAGTGTAACTTTTAAAATAAGGCTAAATAAGTATTTTAATAAAATCTTGCATTTAGTTGAGTAAATTTGTGTGTAGACTAGATGTCAAGGAAAAATTTTTTTTTCTTTTTTTTTTTTTTTTTTTTTTTTTTTTTTTTTTTTTTTTGTTGTTCAGCTGGTTTTTTTACTGTAGTGGCTGACACTAAATACAGAATGTTTCAAAGAACTTCTTAGCGGTATCTCTGATAATCAGTGGCTTGTCATACAGGTTTTCTTCTAGAAATGATTAGGTACAAGGAAGAAGGAAGGCACTGGAACATAGGTTGCCCATTGAAGTGGTGGATGCCCCATCTTGGTAATATTCAAGGCCAGGTTGGATGGGGCTTTCAGCAGCCTGGTCTAGTGAAGGTGTTTCTGCCTATGCCAGGGAGGTTGGAACTAGGTGATCTTTTAAGCTCCCTTCCAACCCAAACCATTCTATGATACTGTGATTGACTTGGATGCCTCTGACTTTCTGAGCTGGGTGGTGTCCTGGATTTCTGTCTGTTTTGTTCTTTCCTCAGTAGTCCAACAGATTTATTTTCTCTAAATCAAAGATTGGTCTTAAGCTGGAAGAGGCAACATGACTTTTAAGCACAGCGGCAGTTTTGGTAATGGAAAGTTCTCTGCTTGTTGCCACACCAAACCATTCTTTTTTTGGGACTCCTTGTTATATATATCTCTCCATCCCCATAGTATGCTTGCTGGCTGGATTTACAAGGGCATCTGTTAAAAGAAGAAAATGTCTTCATGTGACTGAATGGACCAGTTCCCTGCCTTATGTGCCTTTGGAACTACTTCCCCTCACCTTTGTTTCTGTGTCCTTGAATTCTTTATTGAACTTGAAGAAATCTGATCTACTCTTAACTAAGATATAGTTAGCAACATTTCTGAGTTTGAATAACATTTTTGGTATGTTATGTTCCCAGTTTTCTCTTAGCCTATGCTTTTAAAATTTCTGTAAGGGTGGGTTAAATTGTTTCTTTCCCAAGAGATGTTTGTATTGTGTGGGATTTGAACTCTTGCTTTTGCATATCTCTGTGGAGGTGGTATTTCTTATGGCTATAACTTTTTCCCAAGTAGGTAGGGAAAATTCACATCCAAAGTCGTTCCTTAGGGACAGAAGGACTATTGTTGGTACTGTTCAAGTTTATTCTCAAGGTGATTTTCTCTCTGCCTTAATTTACCTTAAACCCTTCCTTCTGGGGATAAGACTCCGTTCTACTTTCCTTGTATAGGAAAGGTGTCTTACTTCCAGCTGTCATAGAACTAAGGTTTCTAAATGATCCCTGATGCTGACAGACTCAGACTGCTGTTTACTTTGAAAGACTGTAACAAGACTTTTTATGAGAGAACCTGAATGGAGCATCCCTGTACTAACAAGGTGTACTCTGGCAGGTCTCAAGTTACCTCACTTTTCTTTGAAGAACCTCTCAAGAAACATTTGACATACAGTAAACTGAAGGTTCACGTACACCTTCAAAGAACAGTGTGTACAGTAACAAAGTATTTCAAGATCATGTTGTGCTTGACGTTGCAATTTTCACATCACTGTTTATAGGAAGGATGCCGAGTTCCATGTCTCGGGTGTTTAAGTTGCATTAAGTTATATCTTGGAGTCACTTATCATCTGAGCACAGAAGATAAGCTACTTATGTACTGGCTAACTGGTGTTGTGCAGTACAGCTGTGCTTCACCTCGTAGCCTTGGCTTTCTCAGAGGGACTCCAGAATTCTGCTCCCCATCTGCCCCGCTCCTGTATACCATGAGCTCAGCCTCAGGTCAGGGGGAGCTTCTCCAGGTACTGCAAGAGAAGAATTTTCTGGCCTTTAGAGAAAATACACATGTGCACCCGCAGTATACATGTGTACTGCATATGTTGAAAAAGTCTGGTAGCTATAATATCTTTCTTTGAAAAGAACTGAAATTACACAAAGGAGTCTTTATGACTATAGATGTACAGTTGCCTCTGAAAATATGTATTTTAGATCTAGTTTTGCTGAAATACTAATTGTATTTTGTGGAGTGACTTTACTATGATAGTGACTTTACTATGACTTTACTATGATATGTTTAAGAAAGATTTAATGGCTGCACTCTTGTGAAAACAAAAAAAAAAACAACCAAACCCATATTTAGACTGGTTATTCCTCTTTGAAGAAGGTCATTTCACATCTGATGTGTCTGCAAAATTATAAGCTAAAATTCGTAATGTTATAACCCTGGAATTACTTTTCATGCTTTGTGTGTCTTTATATTTTCATTTCAGTAAGTCTCAGCAGTTTTGTACCACGACAAAACTTTCTAAGCATCGATCTGCCTGTGGTGATAGAGACGTTTTGCAAGTATCCTTTAAAGTATGTTTGTTCTTTTAAGGCAAGAAGAGAATTGTTCAGAATTTAGTGACCTAGCAAAATTTCAGTTGGATATCATTTTAGACAGGATGCTCTGAAATATTTCTGTAGAGTTTTGACATCTTTATCTCATCTCTCCATTGATTATTGTCCATGTGCCAAGCTCAAAATGAAATCTCTCACTTTGCTGCGCTTAACAATATATTTCTCGTCAGTGCTTTTTTTAACTCTTGAGGGTGAGCCTTAACAAATGTGACCAGAAGGTGAAAGTAAGTCTGAATTTACAGCAGGACAAATAAGATGTTCTTGCTAGCTTTGGTATGTCAGAGTTTTACCATTTTTGTGTCATTAGACTGAACTAAATAACAGGGTATGGTTCTTTTTAATTTTTTCTTCAACAGAAAAACAAAGCATATTCAAAAAGCAGGATAGTTCAGTTTATACATTCTTGTTAATGAACGAGAGGATACATATACACATGTACAAAGCTTAGTAGGTTTGAATATAGCTAATCTAAGAACTCTTACCTTAGAAACTGAAATGTTTATACATGACTATAGAATAATTAAACTGTATAGTTCAGTGTAGTCCATAGAACTAGAGTAAAGATAAACATAATCTCCCCTTTTCTGGGAACATACAAGGTTCACGCTGCCCCAGATGCTTTCTGAATCATATGTCTTCTTGCCTGGCCATTTAAGATGAAGGTGGGTATTGCAGTTAGGAAGCCTTTACCAACAATAAAAATTGTCTACCCGTGCCTCATTCTCACGTGCACACACACGTACAGAAATCCACTCAGCTTTTCTGGCTAACAGGTAAGTAGGAGAGATAGGCCAGATTTCCAATTATATTCTAGTCATTTACTAGGGAGTGTTTTGGAAAATATTCCTAATCATGATTTCATACTTGGGTCATAGGTCTAGAATACCTTCTTACTTCAGGCATGGTGTCAGAGCTGTAATCTTCCTCCAAAACCACATAAAGCAAGGGAGGAAGATGGGCAGCATCAAGTGTGGTTT